TGGATGGACTGTTTTTTTTAAATGAACGGAACATTGTTAGAATATTTAATGAAAATAAAATATCATTTTCACCATTACCCCTTCTTGATTTTAATTCGGATAATAAGGAGTTGAAATATTCGCCTTTTGATCCGACGAAACGCGCACAGAAGAAAATTTAGGGTCATTTAGTAACTTACGTTTAGCTTTTAAAACTTCAAACACATCAGCAGGTACAAGCCTTAAAGGGCGAGATTTACCAGTGGCTTTACCCAAACGCTGAACAGAAACTGGGGCGCATTGATAATCCAAAAATATTAAAGCAATTACCAAGAAAGGAGCGAGTGCCACTACATTTATCAGCAGGAACTGTGGTAGAAAATTCTGGCATATTAAATAAAATAATATTGTGAGCTCTTGACTGCCGGTCTATGAGTTCAAAAAACAATTTTACATTAGAAATATAATTGTTATTTACTTGAACACGTTCAACTTTAGATAATTTTGCTTTCAAGTTATATACTCTGTCTTTGAGTAGGTTATTTTATGTAATAATATCAGCTAATTGCTTAGACAACGAATCAAGTTCCTTTTCTTGAGATTTGAACGATTCACTGCAGTAGTGAACAAATGAAATAATTTTTTTTTGAGATGATTTTAAATTAGATACCATGTCAATTGTTCATTTTTTCATTAAAAGTATTATCAGAGGAAACAGGAATAGACTTAGGAGACTTAGAGTTAGACATACTGAAAAATACTGAAAAAAATATATAACAAACATAACAAACATATATAAAAAAATATATAATATTTAAGCGACACGAATTTTGTTTGCGGATTTTTTTCACGGCAATACGTTTTTCAAAGAGATTTTCCGCGTGCGAATGGACAGGCACGTCATATTACATTGGACACAGCTGCTAAGGAAGGTTTTGGTTACTACTCGAAAATAAATGGCAAATGATTAACTCGGTAAATTTCGTAACAAAATATCGAATTTTATAATGAAAATACTCTCTCACCGGTAGTGGGACAGAGAAGTAACCGGGAAAAGTCCAAAAGTCAATGAAAAGGTTTTGCTCAATCTATTCGTGGAAATTTGTTTAAAGGACGGGAGACTAGCCACACTGCAGAGGACGTTACTCGAAAAAATGTCCCGATATCGTACAATGTTATGTTGTTGTTATTATTATATTTGTTTTGTTCGTTTTTAAAGTGACCGACAGGTATTATGGCTGTCAAACCTTAAAATCTCAAACAGCGTTTTTTGATCGTTCAACATAATATTTTACACCGTCGATCCGAGACACGCGGCATGGCTCGTTTTTTTTTTCTGGGAGTAAAAGAAATTTAAAAAACAGTAAAGCTGTCTCAAAATCGATATTTGTCAAGCTTTTAATTTATTCGGTTCCCACAATTCTCCTGGCTTGACCCTCGCAAGAGTCGTACCCGTTTCGTCACGGAATTGCCGTTAAACGCTCGGCGGATTTACACTCAAGCACCACGTGTCGTATATCTCGATCCAGGGAACGCGAAATAATTTTAACGATACCGGTCTAAACCGACGACGATTGCGTGCGTTTTTGATCGTATAAAATAGAAAATATGTTCGCCATACGTTCTATTATAAAACCGATATCGGATTTGCGGTACGGTTCGTATTCCAAAAAAAAAAAAAATAAAATAAAAAATACATTGGTATTGTATCGAATTAAATTGCCGTATAGCGCGCGGCGAATGGATTTTGCGTTATTAAAGTTAAAAGTTCCGATTGGTATTGAGTAGATAGGTATATACGGGCGGAAATAATATCGGAGAACGTTTCGTTATTGTAAAGTTCCGTAGCCGAAATTCGTACGGAGCGATCCATTTATGTGCAGGCTACACTAGATATTTCGAACGACTTTTTTGATAATTTTTCTTTCTTTTTGACAATCTAATGAACAAGCAGTTACATCGACACTGTTTTTTTTTTTCTACGCTCTTATTTTCGGGCGTTAAGGTATCTACCTTTTAAATATATATTTTGATTTTTCAGGACCCCTACAGGAAAATATTGTTGAAAATCCGCTACTGTTTCGGACGCCTTTAAATAACGATTTAAACGCGGTACGGTGTGGGCAAACATAAGCCGAGCTCATTACAAATTCAAAATTGTATATAAAACATAATAAACACGAGCGTACAATTTACACTCGTCCCGTTTAATTAAATTCGTCGCGTTCAAACGCTATCGTCGTTAGGTTATACAGGGTAGACGGACTCGACTAATTCTTTTAGACCCGGAGCGTAACGAGGAATGTATTGTTTTAACAATGATGTTTATTATAATTATTGTTTTTTTTTTGTAAACTCTGTAAACAATTTTTCTACCAGAAATCTCGCTCTGCGATGTATCAAGTGTAGCACCTTTTCTAAAAGGAAACGTTCTCTGTCCGGCGCATTAGACAGGTCGTATTTTTTTGATTTTCCAAGCGGCTTTCGCGATAATTGGGAAATAAAAACGTTGGAAAAACCGGAAAAATGCACGTGTACGTGTATAAAAGAAACTTCGCTCCGAATCGTTTTTTTTTCTTTAGCTACGGTTTATCGTCGCGTACAGAATACAGATACAAATTAAAATGCCCGCCGGGGACGGATCCAGACGGACCTAGGGCCCAGACACATTATTTCTCCGATTCGTTTTATAATATTCCGTATAGACACCTTGGTATCACTGTAGTTCAATCGCAAATATGTACTACGATATTATAATATATCTGTGGACTGCGGTTCCAGCATTGCGATTTCGCAATTACGTGTCAATTGTTGACGCCGCTGGAGTGCGTCACGTCACCGCCAATGTCGGGATCGCCAATAGATTATGGTTGATAAAACTGTTGCGATACCGCATAATATTGGAACCATAGGCACGGTTGTAATTGTGTCGTGAAAATAAACGTCAGCGCTTCCCCCGGACCTTTGCTCCGGGTCCGCGCCGGCTACCCCATCTGTGCATCCAAACTTCTCGACCGCCCCGACTACCGCAGCGGCCCATCCGTCATGCGAAATATTACGTTCGTGTTTTTCTTTTTGAATACCGTCGCGCGCGTGAAAATCGTTTTTTTTTTTTTTTTTTTTACGCCCGGACCGTAGGGCGAACAACCGCACAACCGCGCAATAATTGTTTCTGAACGCGTTCTCGTGACACGTACGCCGTTCGTTCGCGGCGGCGACGACGGCACGCTCGGTTAGTTATTCGTACGTTCGCCCGGTTCGGCTCGTGCAACGATAACAACAACAACAACAACAACAATAATAATAACAATAACAATAATAACAATGGGTACGTGTGTATCTCCGGGGGGTGTCTTTTAGGCGCACGTCCGACGCGCGTATCGGCGCGACTTTGCGCGGGAACAGAAACAATTATAAACGCGCGCGCGCGTAATTACCGCGGCGGAGTGCTCGTCGTTATCAACGCGCGTCGGCGTGTTGCGGTGAGTCGACGCGCGTCGGGCTCACGTTTCTCGGGGCGCGGCCGTTGGATCGAACGTCACAACGCCCGCCGCACACTGCGACCGCGGTACCGGCAGCGCAAATTATACAAGCGCGGTGCGGGGCGGTTTATCTCCGGGCGTGTTCGCCGGGGGCGTCGGTCCGGTTTTTTTTTTTCAATAGGCACGAAAACGGCATATTTGAATCGGACCGTTTTTTTTTTTTTTTTGAAAATTTTCCGTTCGCTTCGCTTGCTCATGTCGACTTGCTCATGCCTTAACCTTATCGCTTCGTGACGAACCGAACGTTATACTCGCGTGGTGCGTCACGCAGCTCGGATATTATTTATAAAATACGAACGCGCCGTATATAATGCAGTCAGAGTAAAAGAAAAATAAAAAAAAAAAAAAAAAAGGAAAACGTTCCTGTAAAGGATAAAAAAAAAATGACCGAGAAATTTAAAACGTCAAAAATTGCAAACAATACGTAATAAAAGTTAAAATACATAATAAAATTGTACAGTTTGGTTCGATAGTACATGATTCAAACTATGTGCTGAGAAATCTAAGTTTTACAATCGGCTAAACGAATGCACTTTCCTACAAATTCACTGCGCTGTTCATAAATAATTCAGCGCATAAAATGTATATAATGCGTATTACGGTACGCGAGGACGCAGCTGGAGCAAAATTTCGGAAAAGTTTTTAAAAATTAAATCATCCATTACTTTTATTACAAACATAAAAAAATTAGCATTTTTCTCGAAAATAAAAACCAATATTGTTGAACAAATTTGCAGGGGGAGCGAGGTCAGTTCCATGAAACATCCCTAAGATACCAGAAAAATCAATTCAATAGGGCAATTTTTCGAAACCACGCAAATTCGTAGATATCCCAATCCAAATTATAATTTGATAATACTATATAGCTGTCCAATGACAAATTACATACCTGTGAGTATAACAACTCTACTCCCCACCCCCCAGTAACCACTTCCGTTTACTTTTGCTCAACCTGGAATTTTCTCTCTAATCCACTTCCGACCGTCACGTTTACTTGAAAAGTTCTTGCATACATCTTATCCTATACGTAGGATAATAATTTCCACTATAATTTAGCGCGAAAAATATTTCAAAATACCTGAAATTCCACCGAATAAGCACTCATATAGCATTTGATGAATTTATAACGTATTAGCATATAGACGTGACGCAACATATTATTGCGTTTTTCGAGTTGTTTATAGATATTTGCCGCTTCCCCCTTCGTTTGGCTTCTTATTAAAATGCTCGAAATTTTAATGCAATATGTTCCCGATAACTATGATATTGTTCTTTTGACGATATAAACACGTAAAAATATATATTGTAAATATTTTTTAATCGTTTTTTTGGTTTTAGAACAGATGGCGAACTCCGAGTAAATAATTCTCTCGGGGGTGCATATTTTTCTTCTTGTGTTTTAATGACAAGGAGGTATTCGATTAATGGTTTCTTTCTTTTTTTTTTTGAGGGAACAAATTCCGGCGAAATTATATATTTAAATAGTTTTCGAGCTAAAAGCTAAAACGATATTATACGAAGAGAACGGAAAATGACGAGTGACGGTGCTATGCACTTATACTATAGTACTCGGCGCGACGGCTTATCGAATAAAAAAATATTCAATTTCAAACATGGACGGGATTTTTTTTAAAAAAAAATTGCAGTTTACGAATAATACCGCACTCGTATATACGAAATCAATTGTGTGCGCCGTGGGCGGCAATCATCCTAACGACTCGTATTGACAGAGAATATTATAACGTCTCCGTCATTCGTCCGTCTGTCGATTTTGTCTACAGGATATCCGCGAGTGCGCGGAAACGGACAAAATCTTCTTATGCATACATAGGTAGTCCCATATATAGTACGTCCTCTTTTTTCTCTTTAAAAATATGTAGTAATATATCCGAAAACGGTTTATTTTCTTTTTTTTAAGCGTCTTATTGCGCGTGTATTTTATTTTCACGATTCGTACACGTCCGCGGTCGTCGCGGTTTTTTTTCGTCCACCATCCCCTCCGCAGCACCGAAAACTGCTGCTGTCGTCGTCTGCCGTCGCCGCCGCCGCCGCCGCCACCGCTTCCATCGATCATCGGGCAGGGCGGGGATGGGGCCGAAGTCGGAGAGAAAAACCCAATGCCGCTAAAACGCCTCGATAACCCGCCGGAGACGATGCAGGAAGGACACGTGCGAGGATAGCGGAGTTACCGTCGTCGTACCTATATATCCGGTCCTCCGGAGACCGCAAAGGGCGTCGTGTGAGCGTGACGCTGACAAATAGTCAAATTGATCGGAGCCGAAGACGTGGTCCAATTTAAAAATATAAAAAAAAAAAAAAATAAAAAAAAAACCTCTTGTCTATTATGTATATAAATAGTCGTCGGAGGGGAGTCTTGTTATTCCTGCCCCGTCGTTTATATTTTATTTTCGGACGGGTCTGTATAGAGCCGGGTCCGATACTGCGGTCTGATGATATATTATTGTGTGCATGTATGGGTGTATATAGTTGTTCCGTTACGTGACTATAATAATTTATTACAGTTTCGCGTGTAGCGACGATTTTTGTTCCTGATTAAAAATCCCTCCTGTTTCGATTATAATACCGTGTATGTAGAATTCGGACGGTACAGTAGCTCTAAAAAAAAAGGTATTGAAGAAGTGAAAAAACACTAAACAAACCCTGAAAAAAAAAAAAATAAATACTTTACCCTAGACAATATAATTCGACGTAATATAATCTGAATGAACCGATACAGCAATAAAAGTATTTTCTGTATTCCTGTACATCTCCTAGATCTTCGATTGCATAAAACCAAATGTCGATAGAAAAAAATAAAAATACCAAAAGGCCTCCTGTGTCCGAAATCGAATCGGAAAAATAAAACGAGAAATACATTGAAATACAAAAAAAAAAATAATAATAATAAATATTTATTGCATCTGCATTGCAACAGTTGAACACAAAATTACTCTCTAAGTAGAAACCGGATTTACATGCTCTTTGAATTCACAAAAAAAAAAAAAAAAAAAACGCTTAAAAAAATAACTGGAAAAAACATTTAAAAAAAGAAAACTACAGAGGTGTTAATAAATGTCTCCTCGTTAACGGCTCTTACTTATTAATTTTAATTCTTTAACACTACAAAAACGATTAGCGAAACTTTATTTTAATAAAATTGTATTCGTATTAAATATTAGTAGTTTTTTCGCGACTTTTTCGTGGATTTTAAGAGTTTATGAGTCCGAACCCTATTCATAAAGGACCAGGATATTATTTGGTGGTTTTTTTTTTTCTGTTGTTATTCATGTTCTCGTTGTAAACTTAGGCGTACCGACTGAGAAAATGATGAACTTTTGATTTCGTCGAGTACCGTGTATAACTCGCCCGTCTCGCGAATTCCTACTCTTAATAATATTGTACGTAGAGAAAATTGTATTTCCTCGCGAATGCTTTGATATAATATTATTACAATATGAATATCTAATGTAGAACAAATAGTTTATTAACTATTATTATGATTTAAAGTTCGAAACAGCAGCACCAACTATGGTGCGGATGTTTTGCCCAACTAATGAAAACATTAGTTCTTCCCTCCTCGCCGAATTTTTACCACACACTGTATATAATAACTAGACATGTAAAAATATCGGTTTTTTTTTATTTTTTTTTTTTTTTTAGTTTTTAGCGTGTACAATACAGTACGTTTATGCGGGATTTCCAGACTGAGTCAATCAATATGATTATTTTTTTTTTTTTTAACTCAATTTCACTTTATATTTTAGATTCTTAGTGGTGCGAGGAATGTATTTTTTTTATCTGTAAACAACTTTTCTACCAGCAATTTCGCTCAAATTTACAATGATAGCAGTTTTCCTGAAAATAAATGTGACTAGAGTGGTACTTTATTTATTTTTTTTTTTTTCAGAGTGGTTATTATTTTTTTTATTTCCCCAGCTGTTTTCGTAAGAAATGTGAAAAACCGGGAAAAACTTAGGAAAAATGGTAAAATACGTACAATATTAAACAAATATTGTTAAAGAAAATATAAATATATAATGGCTGCATATATGTAATTGTTTAACGATAATATGGCGTACATATTGTTTACGTTATAAACCGAACTCGTCTCGGAATCGTTTTTTCGTTAGTAACGGTTAATCGTTGCGTACAGATATGCATTCGATTTTCCCTCTACCACACCACCTTTCCAACTACAACAGCGGCCCACGTGCGAAATACGTCCGTATTTTTTGATGTTTGAACAACACAATTCCTTATTATCTTTTACGTATTTTTACATTACTTTTATCTGATCATAATAAATTCTATCGTTTGTGTATATAAGTAACTAATATATAACAATTGATTAGCAGCGCTCGAATTGATGTGGTGGAGGGACTCCGTACTTCGGCCAATTTTTCAGACATTTTAGCGTACCTTTACTGTTTATTTTAAATGGGACGCATAATGGTACGGTACATATTTGTGCATTTTTATTAAAATTTAAACTTTATACGCATAAAAATAAATTACCACATTACGTACAATAAAACTTTCATAATAAACCTTACGTTAAATTCTCGAGCATTCTCCCGTGCCAAAACAATTACAATCATATAAAACCGAATAAAAACTAAAAAAAACTCGAAAATATTTTATGTAAAATTTAACAGAATGTTTTGAAAACTGTGTACGTCTCAAAGAGCTATTATTGAAGTACTTGGCGGAATTTCGGGCATTTAAAATTATTTTTCACCGGAATACGAAATAGAAATAAAATCGATACAACGGGTGTTTTTCTCGCTATGTTTCCGCGTCATAAAGAATGCGAACAAGGAAAATAGGAAAAAATAATCTCAATGTACCAACTAGACAATACCTATTTTACACTGTAAACCATCGCCTCTAAAGTTGATAATCGGGACGAAATGTTTGGCAGGAACATCGACATAAAGACATGGGTTTTAAATAAAAAACTCACTTTATTGTAAATCTATCTGTCAGAACAAATTTGGCGTTCAGTAGTGTTTAAATAACTGGAGTTTCTTTTTTCATAAATAATCAATCCACTCAATAATATTCGAAAACCGGCGTACGAGGGGTGCGGGGTTATTCTCGATTTGAGGGACGTTAATTTTGTTGAAGTCTCTCTTCTCTTATGTGTCCGATACTCGTTCTGATAACTATAGTAGTGCTAAATAATAACGTTAACTCGATGCAAATTGAATTATGGAAACCACAGAGTTCGTTAAAATAGTAAGGTCGGTCGAAGGGTACTGTCACGATAGCTTGTAACTGTGATATCATCTCGCGGACCAGGCTACTAATAGCTATTCGTACGGAATCGTTCCGAATCGCAGGAAAATATTTTTCGGCGCGGAAAAAAATAAAAATCCGGTAGCTTTTAAAATTAGTTTCAGTTGTTGAATATGTTTTAACAACGGAAATCCGTTATACGTGTTATACGTGTTCGATTTCGATACTAAAACGAAATCGAGATATCAAATATTATTATAATATTGAATATTGTATTACAATTGTAATAATGTGCGGATATTGAAATGTTTTTTTTTTTTTTGTTAATTGTTGACAGCTGTTATTATATAGTTTCCGCGTTTGTCGTGCGCGACGTATTTCGCGGAAAAATCTATACGACAGTTCGCTATAATTTTTTTTTTTTTTTTTTTTTTCTTACCGATCGACACGCGTCTATCAAGGGCTTATCGCATTCCGTAAAACCGTATAAATACAACATAAAAAATATGAATTAATTAACACACGTGTTTCGAAGGTTTTTAGACGAGTTTCCAAAGGTTTCAGGCCCTTCAAACCGGCCCGGTCCGACCCCGGCCCGCACGCTCTAATGACGGTCGAAAATGGCCTCAAAGAAAAGAAAAACTGAAAAAAAATACCGAAACCCGGATACTAAATGTTTCACTCTCGACGCGCGGGTACTCGTTGCCGTATAATACGGGCAACACGCGGAATCGTTCGACATTATTAATTCGTCTAGTGTATTGTTCGGCGGAGCAATTAGGTCGGGGGGCCAGGCGGGCTTGTCTCGCTCGCCCCGGGGAATCGCGGCGAACCGTCCGCCGCAATTCGGAGGCGCGGAGTCCTCTCGCGAAGTCTGTGTCCCGACCGCCGTCATACCGGCGTGAAAACATTCGAACGCCCTTACGGAAACGCACACGGACGGTTCGCGTGTCGGACGTTTCGTCGGGTCGACTTGGACCGGCCATCTCTGCGAACCGGCTCTCGTCCGCTCCGGTATCGCGCCGACCGCCGAACACGCCGGTCGACTGTCACTCGTCGGGTGGTCGCCGGACGCGACGGCGTTCGCATTACGCGTCAGTCACGTGACAACGTTATTCCGGCGGGTCAACGCGAGATCGCGGCGCTCGCTCGACGTCGGTAAACCCGCGCCCGAGACGGCCGCGCAACGTCGTCGCGTTGTCGTTCAAACAAGACATTCGCGCGCGCGAACGAACGCTGTCGGCGCGCGGTGACCGAGTTATTTGGCCCGGCGCGTACACCGCACGCCGACGGTGCCGGTGCATTGTCGCGGGTACGCACAGGGCACGCGGTCGCCCGTTAACGGCGAATATCCCGCGCGTCAAACGGAACCCCGTTCGCAAGCGTTTACAGGCCCGTTCGCAAGCGTTTGCAGTCCCCCGTCGGCGCGCGTTTACAGACCAACGGGAAAAATTATATTATAGCGCGCCGCGCGCAACATCTCGCCGCCGTCGACCGTTTTCACTCCACTCCACTACCCTCCCCACCCCCAACCCCCTCGACCACCTCCGCGGCCGCCGAACCCAACGCCGTCTCCGGAACGTTGCCGGTGCATTCATTCGTCGAAATCCCGCGGTGTCGTCCGGCCGCAATCGTCACATGCGCTTTCGGCTTATCGTGTAAAATACACGCGTTTCGCGGTATTCGGCCAGCGGCGGTCGCGGATCGTCCGGGCCCGGCGTGAACGGAAAAAACGGCATCGACGCCGACCGTCCCGTCCTCGGTTTCCGAGATTCGTCGTAAAATGCCGTATCCCACGGACGGGAACCACTCAACCCACTCACGGGCGCTAAAAGTTAATTTTCCGTTCCGCGAATATCCGAAATACTGTTAATGTTATTCGACGTTTCGAAACTACGCGATATTATTATGCTTTTACTTCCGGCCGGAGTCCGGCCATTTAATCGCATTGCTAATTAGAGCTAACAATACGCCCGCAGTCGGCCGTATACCCGTAGACAATGTGCTATTACAGTGTTCGTTACAGACGCGGAAATCCAAACAATTTCCCCGATCCCGTGATGGTGTACGGAACGAGTTCGGGAAATTGTACGGGTGCGTTCGTTTCCGGCCGTAAACCGTTTCAAACGGTCCTAAACCGCGTATAATTATTGCGCGCGGGACACTTAAATGCGCGTTGATCCTCGAACGGTGGAGTCTTTACCGTCGGGCGCCACCGCGTATTTGGTCGCGCGCGATTAATAAGACCGCCGGTGTAGTTTTTCGTCTCGTTTGCTTTGCTCGGGTTAGAAAATCGACGGGCTACAATATCGAATGACCTCTACTACAGCGGATAAAGCGCGTTGACAACGGCCTGAACAATATTGTAAATCATAGGCAAAGGTCGTGTCGGTTTTATCGAAACGCGCCCACTGCGCCGTTATAGTGTACACGCTAATTGAACGATCACAACGGTTACGCGCAGTCATTTTTCGAGTAGACGATTCGGAAAACCGAAGAGGAAAAAAAAAACCCGACCTTAGAATATTATCAAAGAACTGCGGTTTTTTTTTTTTATGAAAAAACAAACGGACATACTTCGCACGACGTGCGGGCCGCTGTTGTAGATGAGAAGTCGAGGAAGTAGAGGGGAAATTGAATGTAGTGCGCAACGAC